GGAGAGGGGGGAGGGTGGTTGGGAAGCGTGGGTGACAAATTCCCAAACGAGGCCGTGGTCGAAAAGCACCTGGCCCAGGCAAATCAGTGAGCCACTGAATTTTTATGCGGTTCTGGACAACTGCCAGTCAATTAGAGATGGTCTTTCAGCGACTATTTGAATTAACGACGAATAGTTCTGAACAGTCCTAATCATCGAATGCTTCACTTCCCTTAAAGGGGCTTTCTGGAAGCTTCGAAGGGAATCTCGTGCTCATGGATGGGGTACGGTGAAATCGAAAGTGTTGAAGCGGAAAACCAACTTAGCGATCTTTGAGAGAAAAGGTGGAGTATTCGACTCGTAACAGTACCGCTTTGGGAAGTGTCCGTGCAATCGAAGAGTCACAGAGGCTCTGTTTGGCACTATCCTGGCCAATTAATTCGAGAGAAGCTTAGTATGATCTCTACACGACACTATTCCTATCACAGTTTCTTGAACTCTTAGGGAACTAAACAATGATGACAGGGCGTTTACAGACGAATCCATGAACTCTAGAACACCTCAGAAGGCCCCTACGCACCTTTCTAGAAACCTAATCAAAATTTCGAACAGGAAGGACTACGTCTTTGACTACGCCTTCTGATACTTCTGATAGTCATAAGTCTCATTTACATACTCATATTTACTTACAGATCTCTGGTGTAGGCGCCTATGTGAAACCGATTGTCCCCGTCTATGGATCAGACACTTCTTTTGCTATCGCCGTGCTGAACCGAAACAATCGAGCAAACGTAAGTCAATTAGAATAGCTAGAGTAATCGTGTAGAGAAAATCGCATCACACCCTGAACAGGACTCCTTCCCGAATAATTTTAAGGCACAGTTCACGATAAAAATAGTTTCTGAGATTAACCCACAGGATGAATTTGAACCCCAGGCGCATACCATATCTGGNGGCCTAGTTAGGGAGTTATAAAGGCTCAAAGATTGGCCCGTGCGTATCCTCGGACGAGTTTCTCTGGCATTGTGGAGGCTGACCCATCACAAGGGAACCCTTGAGGAAGTTCAAACAACTCGTCATGACCAATAACGACAGTGAAGGACAGTTCTGTACAGTTCTGGCTCGATGTAGCCAGCTCTTTGCGCAGTTGCAATAACTGAAATTTCGTCCGAATACCCCTTCCATGTAAATTTCGTCACGGCAATCTCGTCCAACCTCTATTTTCCTAAAAACGGGTACCTCAAAATCATCGTGAACTGTGCCTTTAAGTTGCCAAAAGTCCGTTGTGTTACCATTACCAACATTTGCCCTGATGACCTCCTCTTCCTACATAGTTGAGGGAATGGATAGCTGGTTCTGATATTGCCTGCCTTCTTTTCTTATCCTCTCTCGCTTGCTCGATCCTGCCCATGCCACTTGCTCCTACCCGTTCAGGGCTCAAGCCTGATCGTTTATGAGAGCGATTTCTCCTCCTCATTACACATTGCTAGAGAACCAATAGGACTTCTTTATGTTGCCACTCTTGAGAGAAGCAAATCCATCCGTCATGTGAAACCAACCATTTCAGGAGGTTGAATTTAAACTGAGAAATCTTGGTTTGACAAATGATCGCGGTTACTTCCTGAAGGATCTCTGGAGCAATGCACCGATGGTGAAAGCGAATCCGGATGATACCGTTCGATTCCAAGTGCCAGCCACAGGAGCAGTAATGTATCGAGCCGAATTGAGGAAGCCAAATCGTTGGCTAGAGACTAATCGTTTCCTTGAAGTGCTCACGAACAGGGTACCATCTGATTTTTAAAGCAGCTTTACAACGGGTCTACTACGAATTCCCTATTTTAGTTGAACAATTTTCTTTTTACTTGCTTATTCACATGTACATATCAAAAACATTATTGAACATCAATGTGCCGTTACTCTTGTCTTACACATTATGAATGATAGCTGATTATAAAAAAACTGATTAAATTCGATTTTTAAAGGTTGATAGAGCTTTTTGAAGTGATAAANTTGCTTATTCACATGTACATATCAAAAACATTATTGAACATCAATGTGCCCTTACTCTTGTCCTACACATTATGAATGATAGTTGATTATTTAAAAAAACTGATTAAATTCGATTTTTAAAGGTTGATAGAGCTTTTTGAAGTGATAAAATTTTTTTGTTCAGGCTCATCAAATTCTATCTAAATTCTATGATTCCTAGACTGACAGTGGCCAACTGCACCCGAATGATAGAAGAATAAAGTTGTTGGCTATGACCAGTCTCCTTTCTAAGATGCACCCTGCATTTGAACTCTATTCAAAATCATACTGGGGTTGTGAATGTGTACGTGACTTATTCAATGAATTGCTGTGACCAGCCGATGAACAATTCAGCGCTTTTATCCTTATACACGAGTAGTGCCAACTATTCGACCGCGGAGGGATGGGAGGCGTGAACAACCTGGACGAAAGTCAATGAAGGATTTGATCCCTGAACCCTGCTTGTGTGATAGCGCGCCACTCTATACTACACCGCCTTTGTCATAGCTCGAATAATAGTAATACAAAAAAGATGCTCTCACAATTATGGTCAAGGGTATGAACGGAATTTCTTGAAGAAATGGGGACTTTGTTGTTAAGTAAAATGGTTTTTAAACGTATTATTTCCTTTTCTTACTGCTGCTGTTGGAAGGAGATCTCTGTTATTCTCCTTTCAATTCAGCATTTTGTCTTTCTTTGCTTCATAACCCAGAAAGTTCAAAAAATTCTGCAAAAGGATTGGAACATGTGCGTGTAGAAGAGTTTAAAGGCGGGGGTGGAGGCGGGAGGAGGGGAGGAGGGGAGGAAATAGGCTGGGGGCACAGTTCTGACACGCGATCTCTCTTGATTACTCTCCGACCATAATGACCCATTTCATGGCAATCCCCCCACTCCTTTCTTTTCCACCGAAGGCCAATACCAGAGCTGTACCGAAGATTTAAAAGCCTAAACTCTTTGCAAAAAAGGCCGAACGTCGGAGGGGATCCCTACGACTGTGATGGACATCGTGTGATGGATAGAGCTACGTCAACGACCATCGGACGAGAGAATGTCGTGACAAAGTGCAAATCGAGAACGTGTGTAATATATTCTCGTCACGGATATTACACGTAAAATACGCGCTACCGTATGATTCCCGACACTTCTTCGCTGTCTCCTGAAGCGATCTCCGCTACAAACTCTTTCTGGATAACCAGGTATGATGGATATTCGAGCTGATCCGTCTGAATATTAATGGACATGAACAACATTGAAATTGCCAAAAACTAGTTTCATCTATCACGCATATCAATCTTTCTAACCCCTTGGTTGGATGTGGTGAAGTGGCAGATGGGACACTTTCAACTAGTGGGGCGTGGGCCAGGAATCGACTCCAGGATAATCGTCCAGGCAAGCAGAAACATACCACTACACAGCAGACTTCTAACCATACAGGGTCGTTGATTTCTACCAGACTTGCCTGGGAGGGTCAAAACGCTTGCACGGATGCAAGAAATAAAGTTTTACAAACATACCTGCTTTACACATCCCGACGTGAGCCATTTAAACCATCTTCAGTACTCAAGCAGCAATCAGCCTTATGATCCACACTTGATCGGTGACTGATTGATTTCTCACACATACACCTCTATAGCAGCATTCTTTTGTATTCTAGAAATAGTGAAAAATCGTTTTTGTAGAACTTGGTCCAGAAGTTCCTCTATCACAGATTCTATCCGACGATCAGCGACTACAGCTTCTCCTAAGGAATCTCGAATCTCCCAATAGTATTTAATCCGTGGTATGGAACAATTCAAAGCATTAGAGCCACGTAAGTTAGTTTGATAAGCGAATAGAATGTGGTTATTTCGCCAGGGTATGCCGCATAGGATAGTGAAGCTACATGTCAAAGTCGACCACAAAGTTCCTACAGACTACTGAGTGCAGTACAGAATCGTTTATTGAGTCCATCTCTACCTTCTGGAACTTTTTGTTAGACCAGAAACCCGCTCCGTTAAAAGATTGAGCATCCACTAATCTTCAAATAACTTTCTGTTAGAGTTTAATGAGCTGAGCTTGAGGGTATATCCAAGTTCGAGAACCAAGCCTATGGGAAAATCGGTTTTCACCTAAACCTAACTAAGGCGATGTTCATGAGAAATGGGCCGGTTCTTCATTTACGCTTAGAAGAATCGCTGAATGTTCCAGCTACGTGAATCTCGCCGGAGAAGCAAAAATGACAAATGACCCAGTTCCAGGGCTGAACAGGAGAAAGCAAGCGGTATGGTAAACGTAAGCGGTCAAAAAAACATCAAGACAGTTGAGGCGCTCACAAAAAATCCAGGAAACAGTATTTATCTTTTGAATTACACAATATTTTCCCAGTGAAGGAGACAAAGGGGGCAACAGGAGGGTAAGTTGCTAAAGCTAAAAACTCCTGTATAAGATCCTGTAGTGCTTAGGGGCAGAAGGTACGACTACTCATGTATCCAAACAGCTGGATGATCCCGAAAGTTTGATATTTTATTATTATTTATATTCTAGGCTTTAGCTTGGATTTTGCTATTAAAACTACAGAAATGTGGAAGAAGTGATTCATCGGTTCCCTTCTGTGAAACAACGTTGACGCAGTCGCTTCTGCGAACGAAAAAGTCTCCCACACAAGGGTGGAGGGTGTTTGGAATAAGGCGTTCAGGAAGATTGACAGGAAAACGATGCACGAACTAAGATTGGAGCAATTATGCAATATAGAAGCTATCAAAATGATTCAGACAGAAATGGCGAATCATGGGCAAAACTATGGCCTCAGACAAAGTCCGAACTTGTCTTGCGCTTTACGATCCACCACCTGCAACTGAGTACTGCTAAGTAAGTGCTCGAACGGGTTTGCGTTCCCGAATGATTTAGGAAGATGAAATTAATCAGCCAGCTATGAAACCTTGGTGCATCCGGTCAACATTCAACGTTTAGCAGCCTTACTGTGTTGCCCCTCTATTCCAAAATAAAGACAGAATTATCCATTTTGGGTTATGGAAGCAATTTTGAACTGAATAATGTAAACAAGTAAACACAATATAACGCATTGCATGCGAAAGCAATCGCAATCTCTGAACAAACACGATTTGGAAAGAAAAATAGAAAAACAATTATGATAGTTCACGGAAAGATTAAATAGGATCACTGGGAGGTGCGATGGACCCATGGACCGTGCCTACCACAGGTATAATCCAATAATCAGAGATCAGATCGATTGAGGTTCAGATCACATCAACTTTCCATTGCTCCAGAAACAGCGTCTATCTGATTTTGGAGCAATGGAAAGTTGATGTGATCTGAACTGTTATTGCAAAGGCAACAGACGCATTCAAGCCCTCACACGATTCTGAGTGGAAGTCGGACGCGAGGCGCACCACAATCGCCAAAAAACTGTCTTGAAGACTTGCGGAAGCAGTCTTCGAACAGTTTTTTGGCGATTGTGTAAGGCATCAGGAAAAAGGAGATTTGATCAATGTCTTTTCTTCCTGACAAATGGAGTTGGGATCTTAGTCGACAATGATTCGTGGAATTTGGAAAATAAAGGATAAAGGATAAAGTTTTTGGCGTTAATCAATCCCGTCTGAGGGATGCGCTCGACACTCGACTTCCATTCAGAATCGTAGTGGCGTAATAAGTGCGTATGTGGCCTATACAATGACTCGCGGTAGCCAGCCGATGTACAAGTCAGTGCTTTTATCCTCCCAGACGA